TCCATGAAATTTTCTGCAGGCATTCACAGTGCAAGGTGAATATGAATGACTTTGGTGAACCTGCCATTTTATCTAGTGCTAGCATAAGATAGACAATGATGTTTATTAGTAAAATATCTCAACAACTATGGAATAGATTGATATTATGTTGATTCTTGACTTTTCATCTACCATCACCTAGCCTGTGAATTATCTCTACTCCATGAATTGGCGCAAATTTCGTAGTGCTCTGATGATGTATTCTTACTTTGCTGCTTAAAATCAGCATATTAGTATTATTATTGTGAGCATATTAGCTCAAAGCACAGCTATGCCTAAGCACAGCCTCACAGAGCCATTTGCATGACTTTAGACTCAGTTTTGTCAACTTATGTTTATCTGTAGTACTTTGTCTGGTACAGGAGTTACAGTGTTTAATTCTCAGAGACCTCACTATGAGGTGAAACTGTTTCTGAAATACCCACCCCTACCTGAGATGGTGATTATTCACCGCTGATGATGACTCAAAATTCTGTTTCCATTTCCTGGCCTCAGCATCCAATCTTAATTTAAATCATGAGATTTTTTTCCCCCATGTAAAGACAGAGGTCTGAGTCAACCGACAAACGTAATAAGAGCTTTTAACATATTACATTGCCAGCACTCATGTTACACTTATCAGTAATATTTCAAACGAGGGTAGATTTGGCATAATGGCAGGAAGGCTCATGAAGTCGAGCCGGTCCCCTGTGATTGTAATCTAGGAGAGAGTTCCTGTAAAATTAAACCATGGTTGTGGGGGGAGAGACAAACATGCCTCTGGTTTCTTTGAAGCGGAGAATCAGCATCCAAAAAAAGGAATAAAAGATGACAAAATGTCAGTGTGAAGCTGATGGTCTATAGACAGAACTTACGTGCCCAGACAGCAATTACTGAGATACATTTCATACATCCAGACATTGCGTTTGATCTCACTGCTTCATTCTCTTGCACAGACGATGTTTTTCCATGTGAAACTGTGCAGGGTTCTCATTTTTATGTGTGTTCATCTCTGTCATCGTTTCATTTGAATTAAAAATAATGTGCAGTGAGAGATCCGGAGGCCGATTGTTTGGCAGTGTGGCTGTAATCACAGACTTGTGGTCGCTCTCAAATCTGATAATGACCATTTAAAATGGAGAACAGCAGCTTGTTCATAGCTGCTGCTGCTGCTCCTGCACAGGCCTGTGAAACGACTGGTAGCCATTTTCTGTCGGTGGCAGTCGTATAAATACATATCTTGAAGCCAGCCATGTCATGCGTTTGAAGCCAAACCACTGTGCTCTTGAAGTTTCATCACAATCACCGCTTCAAACATAAAAATCCCTGTGTTCTAATTACATGTAACCACAGTTAGTACATTTGCAACTAATTTTAGACATGATTTAGTGCACTTCCGTTATACTTGTGCATGAACCGTGGCACTGTACGGCAAATAATCTCACTGTAGTTATCAAAGACGTTTTCCCACAGCGTATGAGCAACTGTGAGCCAGAGCTTAATGACTTCATTAGTTTAAGTTGTTTGATACACAATGTATACATCTGTGAAACATACAAGGATACATAGCAGGAGCCTCTAACTTGATGAACACATGAGCATGTGTTCTTTCTCCCAGGCCCTTTGTGACCACAGCCTTTATGCTCTGTAGCTGAACCAAGTGGCTGGATTTTAACTGGCCACCTGAGGCCAATCCCTCTCAGCCCCTGATGATACTTCACATTTTTTGTTCTGTATGTCATCAGTGTGTCAATGAACAGCTTATGCCAAGTCCATTGTAAGTTAATATGGATAAATCATTTTCTGCTAAATGTAAACTTTTCAGTTTGACCCGACTGTGCATCTGACTGCAGTTTGGACAAAAGTGCCGTTGTGTTGACTCTGATGTGTGAGGATTTGTTATGCCACTCTGAATCTCAGGCAACTGTATATCCCATTTCCCATGACTTCATGTTTGTATGCCTGGTCCAAGCCAGCCAACGGACCCCTCGGTCTCTCTGTTACCGAGGGACGGATTAGCATCTCAGCTATGAGCTAAGTCTGTTTTCTGCTCTGTGGTTGCTTGGGCTGAACTGGCAGGGAAAGACTTTGCGATGTGACTCTATTGTACATCCATTGACCTCCCAGTCAGTGGGTTAATGCTCATTAGACAAGCTATAGGATGCAAGGGTTTGCACTATTAAGAGGATTTTCCAGGAATGTTAAATGTTAGGGAATGAGGTGAGGAAGAGTGAGCACTGTTGCTTCTCGGGTAAATATTACTTTCAGGCCTGCTGTGTGAATATTAACAGGATAGTGTCCCACCTTAAATCTGTGGGATCCCTTCTAAATACACACACCGTGGCATCAACACTGAGAAACAGCTAGAAGGTGTTTTTAGCCTGCTCCAGCAGGGATGTTTTGTTGTGACTCTGGGTGGGCAACCTAAGAAAAAAAAATCCTCCAGGCCTTTTTAAAATGATCACCAAATGATAAACGTGGTAGTCGTGATTTAGGTCTGCAGTGTCAGAGGTGGATGCTTGTTAGGTCTGTCAGGGTGGGCTACAGAAAGCTCAAATTGAAGGCTGAATGACCCAAAGTGCTTTTTATATTACCAGCTGACCTCCCTTCAGGCCAGTGGAGAGTGCTAGTTGATCCAAGAGGTAGACAGCGCCTGTGGGCTGCGAGGAGGTGCATGCTGCTCATAAAGGAGCGTTTTGTTTTTCCTCCCCTCACGGTAGCAGCACCCTACTGGGGAATTCATTAGGGGCTGACATCATCTCACTCGGTACAGAGTGAAAGAAAGAATACATTTCTGCCTCAGCTCTCCGCTCCCTCCCTCCTTTCTCTTCTTCCCTCTCTCTCTCTCGCTCTCTCCCTCTCTGCCTCCTTATCTAGCTGTGGTGCGCTGTTGTCTCTCCTTTTGCGCGCCATTTACGCAAAAGCTAAAAGCGCTGATGTGCGCCTCTGCAATCCAGCTCCAAGCGTTTCGGAAGCCCCAAAGACACGAGTGTGTTTGTCTTCTGAAGGAGCACGACTGAGGTTGGATTCAAGTCCGCCTGGAAATCAGGAAGTGGGAGGACCCGACCGTGAAGGCAGCAGCAGCAGCACTTAGGCAGGCAGTCGCTGGATGAATGGGAGTTTGTGTGCTGCTTGGGAGCGGATGGGGAGAGGCTCTTGTGTGCCCACGACCGGGATCCGTCAGAGAGAGCAGCTGAACACACAGCGACGGCGGGCTTGTACCTTGTGAATTTTTGCTCACTGCTCGTGTGATTCGCCTCCGTCTCTGTCTGTGCAGAGGAAACTGGCAGTGCGCTTTGTTGGATTGGTTTGCTCCGTCGGACGCAGCCCCTCTCTGCGCACCGACACACGAACCCTCCCGGATCCTGTTTGTTACCTCTCCCGGATATTTCCGACAGGAGAATATACGTGGGAAAAGAAAAAAAATCACATTGTGTCCCAAGCAAGAAAAGAAAGGTGGATGAAGGGATTTTTTCTCTGGTCGCCTCAGTGCTGTTGCAGAAGCTCTCCGTGGCGAGACACATGGTTCCCTTTGTCCAAAAGGCGCAGTAGCTTTGTGAACGGCTTTGGATCTTTTTTTTCTTGGAAAGGCTTCTTCTCTCTCCGCATGGCTGTCCTCAATTTAAACGGAGTAGACTTCGCCGCCTCTTGTGTGGATTATATTATTTGAAAAGCAGAATGTGAAACGAGGCCATATTTACCAGACCGAGAAAGTAATATCCTCACTTATTTGCCTCCTTGCTAACCTTGCCACATCAAAGGTATGCGCGCTGGCTCCGAGCTGCTTCTAATCTTGGCTTTCATTGTGTGTGATAGTGTGCAGGATGGTCTGAGTGCAATATGTCTAATTGTAACCATTTTCATGCCACCTCTCCTGCTGTCATTTATTCTGCAGCTTTCATTGTTTACATTCTGTCACTGTTGCATTAGTGAATGAATACCTGATTCATTACAAGCTTTTATATCTAACAATAAAACAACATGAATTTAGTTGTCTATTCGCACTATTCTCTCTTAATTTAGATTGAGTTATTCTAATACTTAATAACAAACATATGTTGGGATAATCGCATAAAGCTGTCACTGGACGCAGATTTGGAATATTCCTGTCATTGAGGTTATTATAGCACAAGGAAATCTAACCCTGCCGTCAAAGCCTTAACATCATGTTTTCGTAATTTATCATGAAATAAATCCAAGGCGAGGGGATGCTTAAAGCCAGTTCTCAGAAAATCATTTTATTCCGAGAAACCTGTCAGTCAGTCTCACCCGTGTGCAGCTCAACGGGTGTTGTCCTGTTTCTTCCCTGTCCCTGCAACCTGTAGTTACTAATAACTAATAATCTTTCACTTAAATGACGTGGTGGAAATATAACTTGATTTTCACCAATATGAGCCTTTTATTTTGTAATTCAGGTTTAAATCCCATCACAGCGCGTTTTATTCTAACACAGTGACGCTGTTGGTGCTCTGCTTGGAGAACGGATGGATTTGTTTTGTCACGAAGCAACAGTGCCATCAAGTGGCCTGAATATGAAGAGCCACTTGTTTTGTTTCAGTCTGATATCCAGTATTGGTTCTGATCATGATGCTCAGATTTCTCAAATAATTATGGACACAATTTGAGTATGACAGGATGCGGATGCTGGATGTGTGTCGTCTTAAACCGGTTTAAGTTTGACATTGGAGACTGCTGCAGCATAGATTGACTGCAAATTGTCAGATGTATAATAAAGTAAGATCACAAATCTTATCTTGGTGAATTTAGGATTAAGGTTTATTTAAAAATTTAATTCTGGTGAAATAATAATTATTTACCATTACCCAATTAAGTCCTCTCAGTCAGCAGTCATTGCTCTGAATCGTGCCCAGAAACACTCTCTGGGAGTGGGTCTGGATATTTTGGTGGAAAATGATATTTCATTCAGGTTTTGTGCTTTACTGCATGTGATGTTTTGCTCATTTTATTCTCCTCTTTTCCAGGTTTCCGATGCCAGCTCAGAGAAATTTTTCAGCACAGCTGCAGTTAAAGGTACAGGCTTTTTATTCTTTATGCTGTGCCGAAATGTTTTCAGTATGATGCTGCAGGTGTATTGCCATTTCCCTGGTGTTATTACTGTGTTAAAATTGGTATGCATTGTCCCAGCGCAGTGGTTGTCATATTCATGAGTGGTCATTTAAAATAACACAACAGCAACAATGGATCACATCTATAAAGCGGATCCAGTTCACACAAGGTGCACAGGTATAAAATACAGCTTGTTGCTTTGTCAACATGAAAATCTCTCTTTCTGCCAAATGCAATATTTAAAATGTGAAAACAAGGTCATGTAGGCTTTATGTTATTACATACATGTGATATGTGAAATGAAGCAGTGTGCAGCGTTGGTGACCCTTTGTTGTAAATGTGCTGAGATGCACCAGGACTTGTACTGCAGCCAGAGGAAGAGGAGGAGGATGTAGTAATGCTGCAAGGAATGGAGTAAGGGCAGGAGAGGCATCTGTTTATGGCCTCAGTGTGCCAACACCACATGTGACCTCATTATCAAGTCACTAATTTGCTGTTAAAAGCAGCCCCATTTTCTCTGGCTCAGGGATAATGGAGGTGCCCCGCGTGAATGGACATTCCTCTGTAATGGGGGGGAGTTTCCACACAGGGCAGGAGAGAGGCTCTGAGACGAGGGTTATGACCCCTTCAGGGCCGTGGCAGTAACAGGGCCGATTGCTGATGATAGGTCCTTGTGTCCCCCCCACTCCTTCTTCCTCGTGGCCCTGCACTTTCCACCGCACAGACCTCCGAACACATTTCCCACATTCTGGCCTTTGATTCCCTCCAGGGCTTGATTTGTGGCGTCCATTGGGGTGGCTCAATGGCCATGCTTGACAGGGAGGTTTCCTTTTGAACGTGCTTCTCTGTGGACTGATTTGGTTCCCCTTTCAAAGGATTAAGGCCCCCTTTGTGCAGCCTAAATCAACAGAGGGGCCTCCTCTCTCCTCCTCTATGAAAGGACCTGACTGGGGAAACAGTACACAAAATACGCTTTCTCTCTGCTGCATGATAGTCCACTCTCTTGGCCCCTATTCCCATTTAAATATCCCCTCTTTTCTTCCCTTTTACCATCTCCGTCCCCTCCTCCTCTCCTGCCATATGCTAATGCACTCCGCTATTGCAAAAGGCAAGTAAAAGAATCCAGGTGCAGGGAGAGCCAGGACCAGTGGCATTTTGATGGAGGGGGGTGTTGAGATTAAAAGAGTCGGGTGGGTTTTTGTTGGAGGGGATTACCATTACTCTAATGCAACCAAACCCCGGTACAAGCAACAGCCCCAACAAAAATGTCGAGATAGGCTGGTTTGTGGGACGATGAGTGTCAATATTTGCCCAGAGGCAGGTGCAAAAAAGACTTTCTTGTTGGTACACATGAAATGTTCATTGGGCTTTAGGGTTCCACATATGGCTGAAAAAAGCCATGACAGGAAAAACAGGTGCCAAACAAAGCAACAGCTAATTTATTATATGTAGTTCTGCAATATAACTATAACCTTGATTCTGCAGAGCAACTTGCACATATGAGTTATTAGTTTCCATGTCTTGAAATCCATAGTAAATGGTGTAAGAATACAGCTTTACCCACAAGTCAGAAATAGAGGAAAATAGTCTTTGGTGAATAAATCAGGCTTTAATGACACGTAGTTCAAGAAAAAGAAAAAGCGACATAACTTGGCAGAATGACAGAATGTATATTATTCTTGGTGGATGAGCCAAAGGCTGATTCCAGACTCAGTGCCATTATTATTAATAATATTGTGACTGACTGGAACAAAGGTAAGACATGGACATACCTTAAACCAACAAAGCATTGAAGAGGCCATTGTAATTCAGCAGCTGATGTGCAGCTTTGGTAATGACTGACTGTTGGCTTTTTTCTCTGCAGCAAGACTGGAAATCAGCCAAGGGCAACATCAGGTCTCTTTGAAGACTTAGTGCTGGTCCCTCATCTTTTAATCTCACAGCCTTCTCACCTGCTCCGTAATTACAGTGTATTTTTCATGCTCCCTCAAAAGCCACTGTTTTTTTTTTCTGTCCGCCCGAGGCCTACACTGCATTTTAAAAAGAAAATCCAACTGATGAGAATGCGGCTTTTGTGTTTTCAGACGTTGATTTGTTTTCTTCCCCTCTTGTGTCAGCTTCACCTCGGGGCCATCGGTGTCAACTGTGCACAGTTGTCTAATGTGGAGCTTAAAGTCACCATCACTCTCTGCTTTGCCTCGCTGTTTTTCTCCTTCCTTCCAGCTCACTCTGGGTTCAGTTTGCCCAGGAATAGATTTCATTAACTAAGAGTCATTAAATGTTAGCTCTAATTACCGCGGTTGTCAATGTGCCTGCAGGTGTCAGCTAGCTAACCTGATTCATTTGCTCTGCAGGAGAGTAAGCACCAGTCAAAAAGATGTGGTGTAGTCTGTTGGCCACCAGTGAAATAAACAACTTTTTTAAAGTATAAGCTGCTTCCAAGCTGCTGTGGGTGGAAATCAGTAACCAAGCCTTATTAAGTCTATGACTGCTGTCCAGGGAGTGGATTGAAGTGCTGGGTTGCACAGATACTGATGATGACAAACCAGCACAGTGAGTCGCCACAAAGGCCTGTAGACAGATCTATCAAATGATTAAAGCTGTGTCCCAGGGCAGTAATATCTTGTCACCCGGTTACATTCCCATCCTTTATGATATTGTCAATCCACAAGCCATGACAGAGACTCGGCTAGGTCACTGGAGAGCAGAGACTAAGCTCACTGTGCATTGTTTGTTGAGCGTAGCCCCAGCAGCAAGATTAAGATAATGCTGGATGACATTTAAAAAGCTCTGCTGTGCAATTAATCAAGAGCAGGCTTGAAAATGTTCTCATCTGTGAACTGTTGAGTCTGGTGTGTGCCTCTATAGATAGTCTGTTTGGTATCTTAAGGAGGTTTTTGAGTAAAGACAATGGAAAATACAAGACTAAGCAATGCAATCTCTTTAAAAACCATTTCTAATTACCTTTTACCTGCCTATACATCATCCAAGTCACATTTAAATCATGGGCACAATGAGAGATGACTTCATCATGTGATTTTAGAATGAGCGCTATTTTTTCTAAGAGTTCATTTGGTAGATATGTTGGAGAAGCTAGTCCCTCGTGAGACATCTCCTGCAGCTGTGTCTACGATGAGACCGAGTTCAGTGCGGAGGTGAATTGAAGTGCACAGTGTAGTGATTCTCAGTTTCCCCCCCTCAGCACAGCGCTGATTTCACCATGCTTTACTGGAGTTAATGTGAAAATGAAGCGGTGCTACAGCGAGACCCGGGGCTGACGCCAGCGTGAAGAGCGCCGCTGGTGAAGTGTGTCGGGCTTGAGTGCGTCTGTCACCAGGGGAGAGAATAATGTGCGATGTGGAAGGTGTAATTTGCAGCACTGATGGCATTGTTTAAAAAAATAGTGGAAAGAGAAAAGCGGAGGTGAACTTTTGTGGCAGATATCAGAGCTGAAGAGCTCCCTGGATTGTCATAGAGAGCTCTGCTGGCAGCGAAATTGCCTGTGAGCGTATTACTGCTGTGTGGGAGGGAGCTGAGGGCTTGTTTTTCTCTCTCTGCCTCATTCTCTCTCTGTTTCCTGAGAGGTGGACTAGTGATAGAGCTGTGTGTGCTTCCAGGCTGTGGGCTGCCACCTGCTGTAATCTCAAGTGATATAGAGAGCAACAATCATGCCACAAATCACCCAGGCAGCTCCCTAACTCATTCAGTGGACTGGAAAGAGAAGGTTGGCCTTTCACAGCACCAGTGTTGGTTTACTGCCCCAGGCTGCCTGCACTGCCCTCATGCTGACCTCTGCCGTCTGTGCGGGTTTCTGTGTCAAGAAATCAGGGCTGCCTGTGGAACTTGACCTGATGCGCAGTGGAAAGATGACCTGACTACCATTAGCCTTTCGTGCGTTCTGAACGGTTGCAGTCAAGGACGGTCTCTTTTTCTCTGCCAGGGGCTGGGAGGTCACAGAGAGGTCGCTGCCCCCTCCCTCCAGAGACATAACTGCTGAAATAAAGCACTATTGTTGTTTTGGCTCAAACACAAGCTTAATTCAAATCAAAATTCTCTTTTGATATTTAATAATGTGCATGTTTTGAGTAATAAGACAGGGATCTGAAGGATTCAAGTTTGAATGATCACTGAAGCAGATTCCAGCCATTTCTGCTGGTTACCCGTCCCCCGCTATGAGCATTTAAGGTATCTCTAAGGGGTAAAGGAAGCTCAATATCCTGTGCCGCACAGAGGGAAGCCCCCTTACCCCCTCTTCTTCCTCTCCATGGCTGCAACTACAGAGAGAAAGGCAGTATTTTATGACCATGAAAGGGGCCGCTCCAGCCATGCCTCCTGCTGCTGACACAGCCAAACAAAGGTTAACAAATCAAGGGTAGCACTGGCTGATTTACTGCCTCGCTGTCGCAAACAATGGCCCAGCCCCCATGTCTACAGCTCACATTTACTGTGACTGTCAGTAAATAGAGAAATATGGCAACATTTCCAACTGTACATATTTCAAAATAAATGTTTTTCTATTGATCACAGCTCATTAGTCCTCGTCTGGGCTGCAAGGGATCAGTCTTCCAGACTTCTTAGTTTGGTTTAAAACGGGTCTAAAGTGTATGAGTAGGATTTGCACTTTTAATGTGCAAAATGTTTTCTGTTAGGCTCTATTGCTTTCTGTCATGATTTAGAGCACAATGTAAAGTGTGGAACATGTTTGGTTGTCTGAAGGCAATGAATCCAACATAAACAATCCAATATCCCTACAAAGATTGAAACAAATAGACTATACTCAAAGTGATTCTGTAGATTGAAGATATTTGTCAGTCAGGTTTCTAGCCAAGACAGAGCATAGTCAGACCACTATGCATCCTGATTATTTTACCACAATTTGTGTCTTTTTCTTCCTCGGCCACCTGTTACAATCATAACATATGCAAAGAGTTCTAATTATGGAAATTTTGGCAAATAACTTAGGT